CTCCTGGACTTCCTCCAGGACAAGGACTGACAAGGACTCTTGCCTCCCTCTCCATGACAGCCTTCTTAAACACCTCTGACCTTCCATTAACTGTTAATTAATTATCATTAATAATGTATTTGTGGAGAGTGTGAGATTACAGTATAAACCAGTGGTCACTAAACAAGGTGACCAAGGTACCCTGTGGAACTTCCTATTTCTGAGGTCTGTTTCTGAGAGGAGCAACTAATTAAGAGGACATGGCCTGTCTGTAAGAGAGCACCAGAAGTGGGGTGCCATGCCCCCACACCAGGGCCACATGTTTCCAGCCCTGAAGGCATGTAGGCAGCATAATGCTGGCACCTGTGGGCAGGAGAGCAGGAGACATGCAGTGCCCTGACCTCCACGGAATCACCTCCCTGAGCCTGTGTCTGCAGGGACGATGCTCTACAGTTGAAGGGGAACTTCCATGGTGCACGTTTCATAGTGACTATTTTGGATGGAAACCTAAAAAAATTGATGCTAAGCCGGGTGCTCACGCCTATAATCCTCAGGAGGCAGAGATCAGGAGGAGTGTGGTTTGAAGCCAGTCTGGGCATCAAAAGAAAACCCATCACAAAAAAGGGCTTGTGGAGTGGCTCAAGGTGTAGGCTCTGAGTTCAAACCCCAGAACTGCAAATATATATCTACGCTGACTTTCTTAAAAAAAGAATCCTGACTAGGATTTAAACTTTGGAAAGTGATCCATCATTCACTTCAGTGCCCGGCTATAATTCAGTGATGCCCTGGGGTCTGTTCTGGTGGTTCTGATCATTGCTGCTGAGCCAAATGCTCCCAAATTCCCAGGCTTTTGGAATTCATCAGAATGACTTTACATTTATTCTTTTATTTCTCTTTAATGTTTTGCTGTGCAACTGTATTACTATAAAGCAGGCAATCGCCTCAAGACACCTTCTTATATGTTCCCTCTGAGCTGCTTTTAATACTCTTGACTGGGAATGAAATGATTAGTCTTGCAAGAATTGTGTATGAAATAAGAGTCAGTAAGGGCTCTCCTCTGACAACGGATTGGACTCTGATGTTTCTGACTGTTCAGAGGCCTGCTATATTTTCTTGCAAGTCTCTGATGTGGACAGCCTAGATAAATTGACTTCTAGTGAGAGGAAGACAGCATGCATAACCTGTGTACAAGGTCTTTGCCAAGGTCAATAAGTCAGAGGAAATCGTATCTATATTAAGATAATTTTAGTTTGAAGACAACCACACCTACCCACTCTCATGCACACACATAAACACACTCACACATCATAGAAATGAGAGACAAAGCCACAAAACAGACTCACCTACTTTTCCATTTTTATATCTTCATAACCCTAAAAAGCTCCCTGGGGACAAATAATTAGAATAATGACATTTTCATGTTGAAAGAACTTTCAAATATTGCTCCCTATTTTAGTTCAGGTAAATCTTCTGTTACCTTCCAGACAGATGGCATTTTATCCCCTTCTTGTTTAGATCCAGGAATGGGGAACTCAGTACTTTTTGAAGTCTGATTTCATCAATGGAAATGAAATATCTGTAACAAAGCTACACCCCTGCCACATCTGATCTGCATTTCGTGGGCAGATGTGAGGTTTCTTATAGTGTTTGGATGTGGATTTCTTGTGGGGGGCAGGAGATAAGGGCACATCTATGTGAGTGGGGGAGAAGATCTTTCCTGAATAGGCGGGCATTCGTGATGTCAGTCATTTTGGAGATAGCTGCTCTTGAGACAGAGTGAAAAGGCTGGATTGGCCAGCCTAGCAGAGAGAGGGGCTGCTTCTCTGAGCCTTCTTTCTTTGGCCTGAACTTGAGACCTCTTGTAGTTCCCAGAGTCTTCATGGATGGGGTCTGGGTGGGGGTAGGGCTCCTACACATTGTCCCAAGGAAGAAGGTGGGCAAGCACTCTGGAGAGAACACAAAGGAAGATAAGCAGCCAATCTTAAAAGCAGTATGACCTGGATTCACATTACACTTTGTGTTTATTTCTGCCTTGTCCTCGCTGAGCTTTTGGAAATGTCTGGTTGAAATGTTCCAGCCTGGCCCAGCTGTATAACAGCATTGAAGAAGGAGCAATAGAGGAGGAATGGTGTCCTCAGAGGCCACTGTGGGTTTCTGTGATTGCCACGAGATTCTTAAAGAAATGTGACTATTGGGGCACAAGACTTGAGTGCCAGTGATCCACCCACTCCGCTGCACATGGTGATTCACCCATTACCCTCATCCTTTTATTGAGCAAGCTGCCAGAGTTCCTATAAAAGTAATCCCTTAAATTGGCCTGAAATCTGTCTCCTAGTAACTTTCACCCACAGGACTTAGTCCTTTCTCTCAAAAGCACGGAGCTGGGTGGGGTGGTACATACCTATAATCCCAGCTACTTGGGAGATGGAGGTAGGAAGATCAAAGTCCAAGGCTGGCCTGGGGGAAAAGTACAAAGACATGAAATCCTATCTGAAAAACGAACTAAAAGTGGCTCAAGTGGTAGAGCAGTTGCCTAGTAAGCATGAAGCACTGAGTTCAATGGCCAGTACCTCAAAAGCATAGGGAATAATCCTAACTACCCACTTTCACTGAGCGCTTGCTTTGTGCTGGGCCCTTCACTGAGCATTGTAGTAGCCCTCATTTATATTATTATCCCATTAACAGACTGAGAGAGGTAAAATCACTCACCAAGGTCAGACTCCAAATAAGTGGTAGGATTTGAACTCAAGCAGTCTGATGTCAGAGCCCACAATCTTGACCTCTGAAATACTGCCCGTCCTGTCCTTGTGACAGCTCCACAGAGATCCATAGCCTGTGCCCTTGTTCCTCTGGATCATTTTTGGGCCAACCTAAAACCTTACCCCCTTCTCCTTGCCATTTCTCTTTGTGTATGTGGAGCTAGGGGAAGGCAGCCCTGACCCATTCTTCCTGCCCAAGTTCTGGGACAATGTAAAGAATGCAAAGCACAGGTCCCTCTGACCTCCAGCGACTTGTCCCACTTTGTCACCCAGGACAGCCTTAGCCAAAGCCTCCGGAAGCACCATTTTAGTAACCTTCCCCTCAGGAGGCTGTACTTTTCTTGACTGTCCTCAACATCTCTTTTGCCAGAACAACAGGCTCAGTTTTCCCTTCTGATAAATCTGGTCACCCTAAATATGGGGCTTTGAGCAAACAGGAGTGGCTGGCCCCACGCAGCCAGCCCTCATTTTGAAATGCAGATTCACAATGGGCTGCTATTTTGGAGGTCTGGTTTCCTTCCCCATACACAGTGGTTTTTCAGCAAGAGGGAAGGGATCTTGGCAGGGAAAAGGTGTTAGAAGAGAAAACGCACCTGGACAGTCTTGGTTTCCTACGTTTCCCAAGAAGCTCTGGGAAAAAGGGGGCCTCTCGTCACATAACACTGGGAAATGCAGCTTTGCCAGCCCCTCCTGGTGATCAGCAGTGTTCATGTTAAATATTTTAAGTCCTACAAGTGAAACAGCCTAACTTGTTTTCTTTAGCCCAGTTTCCCTATTTAAAAATGCAGTCTAGTAAAAATTTGGAAAGCGATGTAGAGCTGAAGTTGAAATGGGTACCCAATGGCCTGATGAGTTCCTCAGGTAGGTTTGATTGGCCTTACACAGCGCTTAAACTTTACCAATATGTTACTAACACTTAACACTTGGAATATTCTTTTATAACTCTGGATTTGTTATTCTTTTTGAAAAATCAGAAGATCTGGATACACTAGTTCTCATTCTCAGGTGACAAGTGGACACTAGAAACAAGGTTGTAAGGTCTTTAGTCGCCTGCAGCCCCTATGCTTGCCTGTGCAATCCTGGTGCCCCTGCCTTGCTCACCCACACACCTGCCTGCGTTCTGCAGCTTGTTCTCTCTGACTTGCAGGTTTCTTTCTTTAGGAATTGGCCTGGGTGAAGTAGGAACTCATTCACCTGTTCATTCATGCAACAAACACTGATTGAGCTCCTACTGTGTGCCAGAACCCTGTGGATATAAGATGTACACAACAGTCATGCCCCCTGGACTCGAGGGCCGGTTCTTTAAGATTCTAGTTGGGAACTGCAAAATGAAGGGTTGAGGAGAGGGAAGCTGGCAAGTCCAGAACTTGCCAAAGAACTTGCTCATGGGAGGGAACTACCACTCAAACAGCCACTGTGAACCCCAGGAAAGAAGCCACTAACTTGTGGCTTAGACCATTTCCCGCCCACCTCAAGGCCTCAGTTTCTCCATCTCTAGAATGACCCTGTTGGACTAAAAAATGATGCGCGTCTTTTCCACTGCTGGCGCTCAGAGATGCTAAGACTCCATGATCAAGGAATGTCTGACTGGGCCGTTCCGGAACTGTTCCACCGAATTCCAAGCGGCCCCCCTCCCTTCTCTCCTTAGTCCGGGCCAGGGGCGGGCGCGGAGTCCGCCAGCTGAGCAGGCCTGGGCTCCCCGCCCAGAGGAGGGGCCGTGCTCAGCGTCCCGCCCCTCCACCTGGGGCTCGGCCGGGCAGATGTTACAACTTTTCGCATTCTCTCCCTTGGTGTCCCCTCCCAGACCCGCCCAACCCGTGTCTCCCTCCCTTTCCCCTCTGGGGTCCTGCCCACCTCCCTGCGGGAAGCCGGGCCGGTCTGAACACTGCAGGCGGGGTGCGAGGCCGGGCCAGGGGCTGGAGGGTCTGGGGGAGGAGAAAGGGAAAGCAGAGGCGAGAGAAATTAGGAGGCGGGAGAAATCGGGGGTAAAAAGGCAGAGGAGAGTCAGAGGATGGTGGAAAGCACTTTTGGGCAGCCGCCACGCCGCGTTTCAGGCTGGCCGGGCTGAACTCGGGGAGAGGGAGCGAGGAGGGCTCAGGGCGGGCGCAGGGCGGCCGGAGGCAGCTGGGCGCGGGCCTGACCTTCCCAGAGCGCCCACCAACCCGCTGCCACTCCAGAACAAGACACCCGCCCCCCACCCCCCGGGGCGCGGAGCGCTCTCACAGCACCCAGGCCTGCGGGCAGGTCGTGCGCCCTGGGCGCGCGAGGCACTGAGGCCCCTGGAGCCCTGTGCGCCTGGGCGCGCGGGCCAGCTTGGAGATGCACGCGCTCACTGGATTCTCCCTGGTCAGCCTGCTCAGCTTCGGCTACCTGTCCTGGGACTGGGCCAAGCCAAGCCTCGTGGCTGACGGGCCCGGAGAGGCCGGCGAGCAGCCCTCGGCTGCTCCAGTCCAGCCTCCCCACATAATCTTCATCCTCACCGACGACCAGGGCTATCACGACGTGGGCTACCATGGATCAGATATCGAGACCCCTACACTGGACCGGCTGGCGGCCGAGGGTGTCAAGTTGGAGAATTATTATATCCAGCCCATCTGCACACCTTCGCGGAGCCAACTCCTTACTGGCAGGTAGGCATGGGTCAGACCCTTGGGGCTGGATGTCCAAGCCCCACATTCACCCCCTTGCTAGATTTCCCTTCTGGAACAACTTTTTGCTGGGACCTGGGAAACACCCCTGTTATGGGATCATTTTGCCTCCAGTTGGCAGTGAGATCATTGGTGAGTCCTCTGCCCTCTCAGGCCCTCAATTTCCATATCTTTAGCACTGAATGGATATGATTCGCTCTCTCTCTCTCCATTTCTCTCGTGTTCTAGGACATGCACATTTCACAAATGTGGAGGAGACATCTGGTCATCCCTTTGTTGGAGGAATATGGCAGCCCCTGACATTTATTTTAAATAGACCCTGAGCCTCTGTGCAAGTCACTTGACTTCCCTAAGCCTCTGTTTCCTTGTCTTTAAAATGGGTTGAAGAACAGTTTTTGTCTTGAAAAGGAGCTATGCAAAATGCGCTTAGTTGTCAATAAATGGCAGCCTCTATATCAGTGGAAAGATTTGAGTTCCCACAGTTCCAGTGACTACAATGGAAGAAGACCAAGGAATTGATAAGTGGGAGTAAAAGATGCTGTGACCCGTGTAGCCTTAGGCTGGTTACCTCACTTCTCCAAGCCTCTGCTTTTCATTTGTAGAATCCTCCCAAGTTGGCTGGGAGTCCCAGGAGTGCTGCTTTCTCCTAAGAAGCTGTCCCCAGGTGGGGCAGCAGAATTACAGGATTAAAAGAGCTGGGAAATGGGGTGGGAGGGGGCAGTGAGGCAGGCAAGCTCTGGACACTTAGGAGAAAATCCTTTGGCAGGCTGAAGCTAATCCTCCTTGGAAGGAGGCCAAGGCATGCTTTCTTCAAGTTCCACCCCAGAGCCACTAATGTGATCTCAGGAGCCAGACTCCTTGTCTCCCTGTTTCCTGGACGGGAGAAACTGAGGCCTGGAGTGGGTGGGGGGCCTGAGAGGTCAGGTGCTAGGCAGGGCTCCTGGAGCTGGGAATCAAGTGGTCATGCCCTTTCTTCCTTCGATCTGGCATTTATATCCAGGAACTGAGAGAGAAGAACAGGAGAAAGAGGAAAAGGGGTGGATGTGGATGTAGACGTGTTACAGGTGAGGGCTATTCAGACCAGACGTCACAGATATCTACTAACCTGAAGAGGGAGGAGGGATCTGCATGCTGAGAGTTTTGTATTCATTAGCATTTCTCTCCCTAGAGAATGGTAACTTTTGGTTTAAGCGGAAGAATGAGCAGCCAGCAGGGCAGCACTCCAGCCCACTGATCTGTGAAGTTAGCAGTGCATGGCACCGAATGGCTGGCCAGCACCTGCCCTCCACCCTCTGCAGCTGGCTCCATCTCCCAGATGCTTACTCCTTTCCTTGCTGTTCGTTGATGCATCAGGTTATGTTTGGTGGAGCTGGGGAGAGCCAAAGTTTCTTGGATTACTCATTGGTAAATGGGCTTTGGTGATTTAACTGGCCCACCCACCAAACAAGCCAGTGCCTCACCCACTCCACCCTTATGCAGAGAAGCAGAGAAGCTTGGTTGGGACTCAAGGCCTTAGGCGCTTCTCTTATCAGTCCAGTCACTTATGAGTTTGAGTGAGGCCTGGAGAAGCTGTATCATGTACAGATTTTGAGCATGAGTTGGGTAGACCTGGGTTCAAAGCTTAGTGCCTCTGCTTGCCAGCTATCTGACCTTGGCCTTGTTGTTGCACTTTTGGGAGCCCCAGTTTCATTGTCTGTAGAAGAACAGTAATAATAGTCTACACTATGGTTTTTTAAAATGAATATTAAATGAAATAATGTATGTGTGTAGCACATAGTGTTAAAAATGGCCTTAAGATAAGGGAATATAAACAGAGTGGGGGAAGGGAGGCTGGAAGGTATCAAGTGCGCAGGTCTTGGTTAACATGGGTGCCTGGGGAGAAAAAGGTGTGGGATTCTAACATTCTTGGGAAGTTCCAGGCTTCTTTTTTACTCTGGGACTTTTAAGACCTCATAAGCAGATCAAATGGGGGCCTTGACCACAGAAGAGGGACGATGGGCTATAAATGGATAAATGAACTTCAGAACTCTGCTAACATTCCACCTACTGCCACCTCAGGACCTTAGCCTGTGTGAGTGACCTGGATCAAGGGACCACAGCAGACACGTGGGAGCTAGTCTCATAAAACTTGGGAACTGGGTGGGTCTTAGAGATCTCCCATTCCAGCCAGCTCACTCACACACATGAGCAGCTTAGTTTGCTGGAAAAGAACCCTGCCTGGACTCGGCTTGGATTTACCTTCAAGTCTCAGTCCTGCCCCTGACCCCTGAGTGACTTTGAGCAAGGCCCTTCCCCTCCTCTGACCTTAGTAGATGACTAAACTAAAGGAAGTACTAGTTCCTTTCTGGCGATAAAACCCTCTGTCGTCATTCTTTCCCTCATTCATTCATTCATCCATTCGTTCACTCTACAAGCAACTGAGTGAGCTTTAAATATCAGCAGAGTGCTAGGAATACAGAGTAAAGGGCCCAAGAGTATGTACAATTGAGTATAATCCCATGGCCAAGTAGGTCAATGTGGTGTGCTCTAAATGCTGGAGGAATCCAGAGGCAAAAGTGGGTTGCAAGAGACATTACAATTGGGGTAATATTTGGGCTGGGTCTTCAAGAGTGAGTGGAGTTTGCGTGGGAGAGCAGGACTTACTGTAGGCCCTATGGCACATTAGTGGCTTAGAGCTCAGGGACTCTGAAGTCTGTAGCCAGACTGCCTGGGATAGAAATCCAACTACCAGCTGTGTGACTTACCAAACAAGTGATTTAATTTCCTGAGCCTCCAGGTCCTTATTTGGGAAATGGGAATAATGACATGTACTTTCTGGTTTGTGGTGAGGATTTAGTGAGATAATTCAAGGGGCTTGTTGCAATGCTGAGCACACAACGAGTGCATGGTGTTAGCTATTATTGTCGTTGTTGTTGTTATCATTGGCAGTGCTGGAGACTGAACCCCAGGCCTTGCACAAGCTAGGCAAGCATTCTACCACTTGAGTCATGCCCCTAGCCCTTTCATTTTTATTTTTGAGATGGTCTCAATGCCACCTTTGCCAGGGCTGGCCTTGAACTTGAGATCCTCTTGCCGCCTCCTCCTTCTCCAGAGTAGCTGGGATTGCAGGTGTGAGCCACCACTCCCAGCTTGTTATTATTAACCTTAGTCCAATCCTTAACTCCCCACCTTCCTAGCTGTGTGATCCTGGGCAAGTGGGTTAACCACTCTGAGCTTCAATCTCTTTTGTAAAATGATAGCACTATCTACTTCAGTTATTCGAGAATTCAGTGAGAGGGTGCTTACCAGCCCCAGTAACACCTGGTGATTATTGTTACTGTTTTTGCTGGTGGTGCTAGACCAGAGCCCACCATGGTGTGTTATTAGGAGTTGGTTGGTGGGAGCAGTGGTCCACAGCTCACCTGTGCCTTACCTGTTCCTTCCCCTCCCCACACCAGGTACCAGATCCATACAGGACTGCAGCACTCCATCATCCGCCCACGGCAGCCCAACTGCCTGCCTCTGGACCAGGTGACACTGCCCCAGAAGTTGCAGGAGGCAGGTTACTCCACCCACATGGTGGGTAAGTGGCACCTGGGCTTCTACCGGAAAGAGTGCCTGCCCACCCGCCGGGGCTTCCACACCTTCCTGGGCTCGCTCACAGGTAATGTGGACTACTACACGTATGACAACTGTGATGGCCCGGGAGTGTGTGGCTTTGACCTGCATGAGGGTGAGAGTGTGGCCTGGGGGCTCAGTGGCCAGTACTCCACCATGCTCTATGCCCAGCGTGCCAGCCACATCCTGGCAAGCCACAGCCCCCGGCGGCCCCTCTTCCTCTACGTGGCCTTCCAGGCGGTACACACGCCACTACAGTCACCTCGAGAGTACCTGTACCGTTATCGCACCATGGGGAATGTGGCACGGAGGAAGTACGCAGCCATGGTGACCTGCATGGATGAGGCTGTACGCAACATCACCTGGGCTCTCAAGCGCTATGGTTTCTACAACAACAGTGTCATCATCTTCTCCAGTGATAATGGTGGCCAGACTTTCTCAGGAGGCAGCAACTGGCCCCTCCGAGGACGCAAGGGTACTTACTGGGAAGGTGGGGTGCGGGGTCTGGGCTTTGTCCACAGTCCCCTGCTCAAGCGGAAGCGACGGACCAGCCGGGCACTGGTGCATATCACCGACTGGTACCCAACGCTGGTGGGCCTGGCAGGTGGCACTGCATCTGCAGATGATGGGCTAGATGGCTATGATGTGTGGCCGGCCATCAGTGAGGGCCGGGCCTCGCCACGCACGGAGATCCTGCACAACATCGACCCACTCTACAACCATGCCAGGCATGGCTCCCTGGAGGGTGGCTTCGGCATCTGGAACACTGCTGTGCAAGCTGCCATCCGTGTGGGTGAGTGGAAGCTACTGACGGGAGACCCTGGCTATGGTGACTGGATCCCACCGCAGACACTGGCTGCCTTCCCTGGCAGCTGGTGGAACCTGGAGCGGATGGCCAGTGTCCGGCAGGCTGTGTGGCTTTTCAACATCAGTGCTGACCCTTATGAACGGGAGGACCTGGCTGGCCAGCGGCCTGATGTGGTCCGCACCCTGCTGGCCCGCCTGGCTGACTATAACCGCACAGCCATCCCTGTGCGCTACCCTGCTGAGAATCCCCGGGCCCATCCTGACTTCAATGGGGGTGCTTGGGGGCCCTGGGCCAGTGATGAGGAAGAAGAGGAGGAGGAGGAGGAAGCCAGGGCTCGAAGCTTCTCCAGGGGCCGTCGCAAGAAAAAATGCAAGATCTGCAAGCTTCGATCTTTTTTCCGTAAACTCAACACCAGGCTGATGTCCCACAGGATCTGATGGGTGGGGTGGCAGGGGTCTTGGTCCCCCTATATCACTTCCCCACTGGCTCCCTGCTCCTCAGGGAGAAGTCTGAGGTCAAGTCTCCATCTGCAGGGAATTGGAGGGTATAGAGGCCCTCCACTGAATAGGATGGGATGCCTGGGTCCCAGTCCTGCCCTTCTACTGACTTGCTCTGTGACCTTAGGTGACCTGCATCAGCTTTCAGCACGTCTCCTCATCTGTGAGATGAGCTCTATGACTTCATGACTCTGGTGTGCATCAGTGCCTGGGACTATGATAGAGGTCCTGGCTGACCTTGCCACATAACAACTGACATAAGGCCTTGTCCTCTCTGTGGTGCTGCTTGGGTGAAGGGCCACATGGAGGCAGCTCCAGGACAGACACTAGCTGGAGCCCAGCCATCTGGCTGCTCTTTTAGGTACCCCTTCAGAGCTGAAGGGTGTAGGTGCAAGGTTGGGAGGTTGCCCATCCTGGGTCTTCAAATGTCTAGGCCAGTCTTGGGGCCAGATAGTGTGGGGATTCATGGTGGGAAGCTCTTCTTCCAGTCTCCCAGGATCCAGAGAAACTGGCTGGGTCCTTAGCTGCTGCAGTATCAGGAATGGTGGAAATAGCTGTGAAAAAGAGCCTCTGAACCAATCATCTTCTTTGATCTTGGGTAGAGTCCTTCCCCTCTGGGCCTCAATTTCCCTACCTACAAATTGGGTTGCCGGCCCTGGCTCTGCCTACCTCACAGCACTGCAGAAGACTGGCCAAGCTAATAGCTGTGGAAGAGCCTGTAAACTTGATTAAAGTGCCATTATAGGGCTGGAGGCATGGCTCAAGTGGTAGAGCACCTGCCTAGCAAGTGCTAGTCCCTGAGCTCAAACCTCAGTACCACACACACACACACACACACACACACACAAGTCATTAAAGTGTTATCACACAGAGACAAGGGATGCATACTGTCTGTGAGCTCCTGTGTGTGCATGTGCATCCTGGGGCAGCTGGGAGTTCATAATTGGCTGAGTGAATGGCAGAGAAGGTAGACATCCTGACTAGGAGGCAGAATCTTAGGGAGTCCTGTTACAGATTCACTATGTGACTTCAGGCAAGACCCTGACCCTCTCTGGGCCTCAGTCTCCCTACGTATAGTGGATGAGCTAAGAGCCCTTTCCATTTGGTCACTCTGGGCGTCACTGTGTGTGTGTGTGTGTGTGTGTGTGTGTGTGCATCTGGGGGGGTGGGGCACGGGCTAAGTGATGGGGAGGAGGGGCGTGGGGGTTGCAAAGCCTGCTTGCTGCATAGCACGGCTCCATCCGCACACTGCGTTCTGCATATCTCCCTTCAGGTTCCAGTCGACGCAGTGTGTGTAGGCGAAGGCCCTGCTGTGAATTTTGAAAATAGTTATTTTTGTCACTGGCAAAGGAGGCCTGTTAGGACTCATCAGCTTGTGGATGAGCAGGATGGGTGGGGGTGGGGTGGGTGCGGTGCAATGGTTGCAGGGCTGCATCTCCACTGCAGTGACCAAGTCTTGGAGCAAGGGTCTGGTCTGGCCCACAGGGTGGAGGTGACTATGGTGTCCTAGGCCCTTCCTCCTGGCTCTGTTTTTTGCCTCTTGTCATCTTTCCCACATGGACTCTTTCTTCTCTGCCTCTAAGGTATTGATGACTGGCTTGTGGGGCAGGGGCCAGGGCTGACAGAGGCCTTTGGACTCTAGGGACCGTAGGATTTGTGTATGCTCAGGACGGAGGCTCTAAAGAAATCACCTGCTAGGTGACTCGGCCTGGTGTATCCCAGGGGGTGGACTGTCTTGTCTGCCCACTGCCCAGGATACTCCAGCTCTGCTGGTGCCCCTTCCAGCTGTGTGTTCAGGGCCTGACAGGCACACAGCCAGTGTTTTCTGTGACTCCAGGCTTGTGAAATTGCATGGACATTTTCCTAGGGCCTGCTGAGTTGCTTCAAGCTCCAGTCCCAGGCCCTGCTTCTCTTCCTGAGTCCCCTGCCCTTTAGGGCCCCAAGAGCAGAATCATAAATGGTTCTTTCTGCCATCCCCTGGCCACGAAGGCCTACTCCCTATGACCAACCTAACCCCAAGCAATAGACACCAACTGGGGACAGGGCTGGTGCCTGCTCTCAGATCCCTAAGTAGGAGGCTTGGCCAGCTCTCCATCTAGTCTCAAATCCAGTGCAGAGCTCACCTGTCTCAGAGTCCTCCTCATTCTAGACACCAACATAGACCAGCAGTCCTATTCAAGCTTCAATCTGAAGCCTGCTTCTGGGGAGCTTGTGCCTGGCCCAGCCCTCAGACTGGTGGAGGGTCTCTGTAAGCATTGCCTCGAGAGGCTCAGCCTAGCCATCAGGGTGTCCACCATCTCCCCATTCCTCCTTCACTTTGTGGCAGGTCCCTGGCTGGTACCACTGAACATATACTTATGCCACCTGAGCCCCTGAGGGGGAAGACAAAGAGAGGGCAGCCAGAGGCAGCCTTGGGTGCTTGGTCATAGGTCTGGGAAGGTGGAGCCCAGCGATGTTTGCTGTGGCTCCTGTTTCTCCCTTGGCTAGACTGGGAAGCTGCACACCTGTTAGCTAGAAGGGTCACAGCCAGGTAGCAGCCTATCCAAGCTGGGCTCTGGCTTCAGAGTCCAGTCCTCTAGGAGCCAGGAGAGAGCCCCACACCTGCCTGACCTCTTTTCACCAGGTCCCTCTGGCTCTGTTGGGTCCTAGGCAAGCACCCTGGCAATGCCAGGAAATGGAGCAGAGCCTGGCAAGGAAAGGAACTCAGGTTGTCATCCTGACTGCCCCTTGTATGTGAAACTGTCAGAGGGGCGTGTTCCCTCTCTGGGCCTTGGTAGACATCTGTAAGGGCCTTGTGCTCACTGGAGGACTGGAAGGGCCTAATAACCCCGCCAGGGGTGTTAAAGTCACACAGACCTGAGCCCCAGCTGTGTGGGCTTGGGCCACACAGTAAGTAATACCACATCTCTGCAAATTGGGCACGGTTGCATGTGCTTGCCTTGAAGTCTAAAGAGTGCAGGGCCTGGCTCCTGATATGGGAATTAACAATCTTCATATCCTTGGAGTCAGAGAATGAGTATTTTGTCTCCAAACTTCCCAGGAGGAAGTGAAGGTCCCACTGGGGAGAAGACCCACTGCCAGCTCTCATGGCATTGGAAGTTGGGTCCCCTAACTTCAGGGCACTGTTGTACAGCCCTTGGCTCAGCAGCCTCTGCCCTCTGTCCCATGGCTCGCTTTGCTCTCCCTTGCAAGGAGAGCCCCTACGGGGAGCACATCAGGGACAGTGCTGCCCTTGGACAGCCTCTGCTTTCAGCCTGGTGTCACTCACTACACTGCATTCACCCAATCTCTCTGCCCCAACCCTTGGCAGGATTGTTTCTTTCCTGGCCCACTTTCCACTGATTCTGCCCCCAACACTTGCTGCCCTTAGTGGGACAGGCCCCATGGGAACTCTTCAGATGGCACGTTTTCTGTGGTTCCTGCTCAGGCCCTGCAGGACCCTGTGACACTCGGGCATATGCACGTGAGCACGTGGGTGGATGTGGAAGGTAGGATTTGAGTCAGCTGTCACAGTGTCACTAGGGCTCTGATCCATCACTCAAGAACTCAGTCACTATCCTTTTGCCCCTCCCCTCAACAAGGGCACTGCCTGCGTTTGCATGCTGTCCCCTGTTCTGGCATGTCATGCCAGCTCAGCAACCTCCGGGCCCCCACCTCTGGCCACCAGCCCACAGCACAGAGGCCTGCTCTTGAGTACCACACACATGGTGCACACAGGGGCGCACGTGCCTTCCGTGGCCCTGGGGAGTGGGGAGTCTGGCAGGAACAATCCCCCTGTTGCAATCATCAGCTCATTCAGTGCCACACAGGCATGGCTGGCTCCTCGCTGTCCGCCACCACCGGGCACAGCTGCCAGCCTTGCAGGCACAGCAGAACAGTGAATTAGCTGTGGTGCCTCCTCATCAGAGTGGCAATTGCACTCAGTAAGAACGTGCCCATCAGAGGCAGTGCCCACACCTCTGAACTAGGCTCTAGAAGATTCAGGAGTGTGTGCACACATGTGTGCAATTCCTGCCCAGGAGATCTCTACCTCTTCTGCCTTCCTCTCCGTCCAGTGATCTCTCCACAATCAGGTGGGTCTGCAGCCTGGGACCTGCCCATCCCCCAGAATGGGAAAGAAAAGTGTCAGAAATCAACAGACAGAAAGGAGGGGAGATAGAAATGAGAGCAGATGTGAGAAGGAATGGGAAAGACAAGGAAAACTGAAAAGGAAGGAGGCAAAGAAGGAGAGGAAGGAAAAGGAAAGAAACAGGACGAGCAGACAGACAGGTGACTTGTCCCTGTCTCCTGCAGGCACCTTGGTGACCTCCCCATGCTCCCTTACCTGGCTATCTATATACCTCTGTGCCTTCTCATTGTCCCCTGAATCACTGTGTGCTCTTCCAGTGACCATGCCAGTCTCTCCCCTAGTCTCTGAGCTGCTCCATTTTGTCAGTGGTGGTGGTGGGCGGGGCGGGGAGGGGGAGAGGAAACAGTGGTCAGACCTGTGCCAAGCCAAGAAGATCTATCACCACCTTTGTTCAGAATGTTAGGTTTCCATTAATACAGCCCGTAGCACATTTGCTTTTTGTTATATCAATTATTTTTTTCCAGTGCTGGGGACTGAACCTGAAGCCTTATGCATGATAGGCAAGCATTCTACTGCTAAGCCACACACCTTGCCCGTTTTACTGATTTTGAAGCTGGAGGTCCTAGTGACCACCTCTTCTTCTAGCCCCAGCCTTTTGTTCGACAGGAATTTCTACAAATGAGGCCTGGGTAAGGTGATGTCCAAACCATGAACTAACCTCCTGTAGAGACTCAAGAGAACAGCACCAGAAAGTCCTGGGCCTCAGAGATGGTAGTGTGTGCTTCCACGATTTGGAAGGCATGTAAGGGAAAGGATTTTGAATTCCTCAATAATAATAACTCCCCCTGTATTGGGCATGTAAAGTGTGTCAGCTACCATGTTCATTTCATTTCACCCAAGAA